CTACAGGAGAGAGAGAGAGAGAGAGAGAGAGAGAGAGAGAGAGAGAGACTTTAACTACATCCATGTGGTGCTAAAAGCAACCATTTTTCTAAAGAACGTTTCAAAGGAAGAACCATGTTTGTAACTTTAAAGGTGTTGAAGGTTTAAAGATTAAAGACAGGTTCTATTATTTAAACCTTGATGTCCAAATCAGGAACGATTTAGGAACCTTCATTATTAAGAGTGCAGTCTTGAGAGAAGATAAACAATTAGAGCAAGATTAAAAACCAAAACCATAAAAATAAGATAATAAATATAATATTTTTCAGAATGAAGGGTAATTAAGAGATTAAAGCTCATCTGTGTAATTCACTGGATTTTTTCTATATATCCCCAACTCCTGTTTACATTCAAAACAACACCTGCTCGCTCTCCTCCCGGCCACTAGAGGTCAGTCTTTAGCTCGTAATAGAGCTCTGCAGAGTCAGTGTGGAAGCTGTAAATATCTGGTTTTGAGAAACTACATTTTAGCCTTTTTCCTTCAGCTGCCTGAAGAGGATCTCAGGTTCACTGCAGGTCACTGAGACACTGAGAGAACACAAATCACCTCTACTGAGGAAACTCACCAGTTCTGCCCTTATAAAAGTTCCTGGATGTTCGGTTCTTTAAAAACCTTTAATTGGTGCAGAACCTTCACGCTATGTGGCTCTTCACACTCACACGGCTCACTTCCAAATGTTCTGTGAATGACCATTTATGGAAAGGTTCTTTAGGAAACCAAAGTGGTTCTTCTACAGCAGTGGTCACCACCTCCCTGAAACCTGAAGGAACCTCAAACATCCGACAGGGCAGTGTTCCCAACCGGGTTCTGTCCTGGAGATTTCAGAGCTCTCCCTGCTTTACAACTCACACTTCCACAGTAAGAGGAGGTCACTGATGAGCTGAATGGCCTCCAGAACCCAGACTGGGACAAACAACACGGTACTCAAAGAACCTAAAAATACACTTTAGGTGGTTAAATGAAGGGGTTATAGAGGAACCCAACAAGCTCCTTTAGGAACCTCTGACTGCCTCAATCAAGCACCATGATTCAGCTCTAGGAAAGAAATCTGAAGTTCCTCAGTGAGGCGCCCTGGTCAGAAGGGCTCCGGTGTGGCGAGCTGAAGAACCCAGAAAGAACCTTGAGTGTCCGTTCATCTCAGCAGTGAACCTGCTTTCCAAACTCCAATCATCTGACCCAGCCAGTCAAGGACTGAGCAGTGAATCAGCTGCACTGTGAGTCCAAACGAGTTCAAATAACTCAAAAACCTGAAGAGACTCGCTGGCCTAAAACATTAAGTTCAGCTTTAGTGAACAAACCAGCCAGTTTAAGTTTAATGTGCTTAAGACACTGAACAAGTTAGAATAACTAACATTTTTGAGGAACTCATAAATTCTGATTATTTTAATTTAGCTTTTAACCTAAAACACCAATTTAATTATAAGTTTTAAGAAATAATTAATAAACTTTTTCTGATTAAGTGACATTAACCACATTACCAAACACCGAAGAATTAACCCTGAGCATGAGTGTGGTCACCCACCAGTACAGACCCCCATTCAGCAGTAAAGAGAACAAGAACTCACCCACAGCATGAGGTCAGCTGGCTGAGTAAAGCCTGCATGAAAGCCCCCACCTGAGGACAGGTAGGCTGGATGGAATGAAAACATGCTGATGGTGAGCAAAACAAACAGAAAGAAACACCCAATATGCAAATAGACGGACGCAGGAGCCAATGAGAAAAGAGTACATTTTACCCAACAAAATTGTGTCAAACTGTATTTCACTTAAACATCATCTGAGTCTCAGATACACAAAACTGTAATGAGAGAGAATCAATTAAAACCAACAGCAGCGCAGATTCAGGTTTTGAATGTGCTGATTTCAAAGCTGCCGAGAGAATAAACTACACACACAGAGAAATATATATGCATGTGTACTTTTATAGATTTGAAATACATTTCAAACACTAAAATATATTTCAGAATGTATCGCCCTATTAACAAAATATAATCTAAAATGTATGTAAATGTGTTTATCAAATCCATCTGAAAACGTATGAAAATATCCAGAATCCTGTCTGATGCGCTTCACTGTCTGATACCTTTAGAAATGAGTTTGTGTTCCAGTATCTTCATTTTAAATCTGATCTAATGATCCTTTATCAGGACAGAAGCGAGTGTTGTGGGTATTGATACTCTGTGAAAATGCAGTTATGATCTGATATCTTGTTTATGTGAAATACATTGTGTGTGAGAGTCTGACTGCAGACGTACATGGTTAAAGTAAAGTACAGTGCAGATCACAGAAGAACGTTTAGTTACATCTGGAACCTTCATTACACTCAACTGAACACAGATAATAACTAACACTGATAAATGTGTTTTAAATATATATTTAACAAATACATGTTTTGGCCATTTTCATACATTGCAAAACTATATTACATAAATACATTTGGAATATAGTTTTTTATGGGTAAACTAAGTTGATTCAACTCCAAAGTTAAGTACGAAATCATTAAAAATGTTCTCTTAAAATATAACAGTTTAGTAAAATGTGGGACATATTCAGTTTTATGTACAACAGGTTTAATTTATTTGAGTTAAAATGTGGGATTACAGTCTGGAGAAGGTCTGAAAGAGGCTGGAACTAAACTCCACAGACAGGTGGATCTCCAGGATCAGAGCTGTTTCTGTTTAAGAGTGCAGTCTGCAGTAAAATACAGCACATTAAAGCAGTTTTGCTGTGAGAGTCAGAAGCGAGTGTAGCTGAACGCGTCCGTGTTTCCTGAAGGGTGATTATAAATAAACTTTTCATGCGTTTTTTGCGTACATTGTTGTGCAACAGTCGACAGAAGCATGTGATGAAACTGACTGCCGTCTCCACCTCAGCTTAATACAAAACCCGCCGTGCACAAAGAGATACGTGCCGCACAGCGACGGGGGGGCAGGAAACTGTCCAATAAACAGATTAAAATGTAAGCCTCTCATATCTTCCTGTGATTCCTCACAGACGAGGCTGCGCTGCAGAACAGTGGTGAAGCTGTGATCACACGTTTTGTTGTCATGCGTGTCATTTAAAGGATTGTATAGTGCGTCCTTCCCAGCATCCTTAGCAGCAGCATTCAGCGGAGGAGCCTCTTTTGCTTCCATAGCACCAAATAATTCGACCTATCAGAATTCAGGACAGCAGCAGCTTCATAACTTCTGACACCTGATCGGCTGAGAGGCCGAGTCTGAGGTGGACAGTCAGCGAGAGGTGAGGAAGCAGCTATCGAGGAAAATAAAGAGAGGATTTAAAAACAAATTGAAATTAAAGTCTGATCTGCACAGCCTGCAGTGTTTCTGCGCCTGTGAACAGATTCAGCACCAAGTCTTACAGACTTCACTGTGTTTCCGCTCCAAACTACAAAATCACAGCTGAAGCTGAACCATCGCTGTGCACGGCAGTGACTTTCCCGTCTGCCGCCACTCCACAGTCAGCAGTGTGACTTAGCTCAAGTTCAGGTTTAGTAGCGTTAGCTGCTTTTGCCTGTTGTATTGTAATTAAAAACTCCGTTTTGTCCCTCATTGTTCGTCAGCTTCATTAAAATTTTATCGCTTTACCGGTTCAGTACTTACATGCTTTAATTAACGTGAACGAATCTGCAGACAGCTTCACACATCAGTGCTAAAAATATAGCTGGTTGTCCGTTTGACGTCAGGACGCTCATTCATAACATCATTTTCAGACGTTTATGGTAAACTGGAACTGACGTTAACGAACAAATGGGGACAACATACATCTAAAAACAAATTCTCCTGCCGTCCCTCTGAACCTTTACTGTAGCAGCCTGAGACGCAGAGGCTCATGGGAACTCAGAGCTGAGAAGGATACAACAGTGTATCCTCAGAACTCGGCCGAAGGACGGTCACATTTCTTAGCCGCATTTTAAGGATCCTCTGCATTCTTGGCTGAGAAATGGGACCTACGAAGGTTTCAGCCCCGCAGATGAGAAGCAGCGTTCTCTACCTGAGAACCTGTGCTTAATTTGGTTACCCAAAGGCTAATTTTGGTGTTGGATAATGTGGAATCGCCAGGATCAAACGCGCGACCTCCTGACGGCTTACAGCGCTCGGGACCTCCTGCTAAATCAGAACCTGGAGCTGCTCCGCTGCTGTGACCGTAGCATTTACTGTTAACACTAACAGTGAAAATCATGTGACCATCAAACAACCTTCAGAGAACCTCGCCTACTCTTACAGGTTCCGCTGTGATGTGAAACGGAAACAGGTTCTCAAGCTGGATTCAGATTAGTGACCGTAGCGTGTGCAGCTCTGCCTGCTGTAAGGACAGAGAGCAGGGAAAAAGGCGAGAGATGAAAGGACAATAAAGTCACTTCCACCAGCCAGCGCTGCTTTTCTTTCCTCAGAGAACCCGCGGGACCGGCGTGCTACACGCACACAGCGGTGAGCAGGGCTGGGGAGGGTACCCAGCGTTACCAGAACAAGAACCAAAGATCAAAAGGACAAGAGAAAGCAAACAGTTCACACACACCGTTTGATCTCTCGCTCGCTGGCATCCCTCCATCAACTCTCACCTCCATACCGGTGAAAGGAAGCGAAGTGGAGGAGAGGCCAGGAACTCTGTTACAACAGAAGCCTGCAAGGGGAAGCAATCAGGACTGAACGCCTACGTGGAAACAATCCGAGTCTGTACAGAACAGCAGACCTAATATCAGCAGGTCAACATCCAATCACACCGTAAAGATCCTGACCGGAGAGGAAGGAGCTGCTCCAGCAGATTAAAGCTCGGAGAACGCCAACCGAGTTCTCTCCAAAAAAAACAAACACTCTGTGTGATTACTGGGCTACATGCAATAACAATGACGGTGTTTGTTGGAAAATGTCAGTGTTTGGTGGAGAATGATGGTGTTTGGTGGAGAATGTCAGTGTTTGGTGGAGAATGATGGTGTTTGGTGGAGAATGATGGTGTTTGG